AGTATAAATTATGATATACCTAGCAAAAACGATCTTCTTAGCCGGGCCCACAATCGGAATAGTCAAGAAAAACGTCTCAAGGTATTGTATATGTCTGTAAGCTAAAGTCAAAGTCTACATCCCATCATTGAGTGGTTCGTCTCGTTATGTCCCGTTATACAAGATATTAATTCCGGGAAATTTTAATAATATAATAGCGGTTTCAGCGTTTATTAGGCCGTAGGCCTGTCGCCGATTCTTAACATCGCAGAACATTCACAGCATTTTGCGGTCTCGAACTCGCAATTCACTGCTACAATTCTGCTGTGCCTCCTTGTCGATTCTGACCAGAAACTGGCGCACAGAGCTGGGATCGAACCCGCGCCTCTCTGCGCCAATCTTGGTACTCTGAACTTTAACCACTGGGCCACATTTTAAACCTATTAAACCTATACCACATTTTAAACCTATCATAGCCAGAACGTCTCGTCTCGTGAAGGTACCGTCCCGGAATTCCCACGTAGTGCTGAAAATTGTCCCGGTTTTTATTGCGAACCTGTACAAAGCTTCTTGTCTCGTCTCGTCTCGAATGGAAAAAAGTTCCAAACGCAGAGTCTACGGCTTTTTGGCCCCGGTGGCGAGCGATGGTACCTCATTGATCTCGACGCTGGAGCCGTTTATCCCGCGCCTCCAGGCCCATGGGCCTGGTAGAGCATGACAAAACAAGAAATTTAAATACCAAGGAACATGGAGACTAATACAGCCAACTCCAGAAACCCGCACCCAAGATTATCCTCACTTCTTCCGCGGCTCATCGACGACGGGTGAGAACCTAGCTGCCATTGATGTAGTCCTGGAAAACCGGCAACTAATCCACTCTTTGGGTGGGGAGCCGAAAAATGTGCATGAGACCCGCGGTGGAGCACAGTTCATAGTGGAAGTGCAAAGCAAAACCTAGAGCTAAATAATACAAAATATTAAGTCATTGGCGACTTGTTCCGTCACCGTCGAACCACACGGAGCCCTGAACGAAACTAGAGGAACTATCTACTACCGCAATGATCCCATGTACGCTGTCGAAAACCTACAAGAGCATCTCAGCCACTTTAACATCAAGTCGATCTACCCAACGATGGCAATGAAGAAGATGCATGGCGCCCTAGTGGCCCTGCCATCATATGCACTGAACTTCGCAACATGCAAACTCCCAAATGAGGTGAAGATTGGGTGACACCGATGCTCCGTGAGAGAGTACATCCCTGGCCCACGCCGGTGCTTCGACCATCGAGCCAAGTGCCTTCGACCATAGAGCCAAAACACGTCTAGCAACCACTGCTACATGTATATGCCCCAGATGCTCCGAAGATCAGTGCGCAGTGGCGTGCTACAAGGAAGCGTTCTTGGTCCTATTTTGTTCCGTTGCTTTTATAAACGATTTGCCAGAAGCAGTGTCCAACGTGTGTTCCATGTATGCCGACGACACAAGAGTTTATAATACGGTGAAGGATGCGTCAAATAAAGCGCAATTACAAGATGGTCTTGACAGTTTAGTTAACTGGGCTGATACGTGGCAGCTGCGGTTTAATACTGACAAGTGTAAAGTACTTCACCTCGGGAAGAACAATGAACAGCAAGATTACAGTATGAGAAGACATGGTTGCAACGAGAGAGTAATGATTGAAAAGTCTAGTGTGAAAAAAGATTTCGGAGTTTATGTCGACAAGGAGCTCGGACAACAGGCCATGGGCCTATTTCTTCAACGCCGACACTTCTATTCTATTCTATAGGAGCTGAAATTGTCTAAGCATGTTCTGTTACCGCCAGCCCTTGCCAGCTTTTGATCCTGTTCTCCCTTGGATTTGTGTAGATCATCTTATTTATCTCGATTTCCGCTTTGTCTCTGGTTTAACTGACTCGACTGCCTTTTCTGCTCATGTTAAGGATAAGGAATATTATCCTGGGCACAAGGCAATCTACTGTGGTGGGTCGACATTGACAGACAACCCATCTACAGCATGTGGTTTGTACATATACCGACACAAGCAAGAGCAGTTGCATAGAGGTTTTCTCCCAGGCACGGCATCCTGTCAGCTGAACTGATTGCTATATTACATTCTTTGAAACTCGTTGTAAGTGAAGCATCCCTATTCTGGGTTATTTTTTCTGACTCACTTGTGGCCTTGCAACTCATACTCTCCCCAACGGACACATCTTGCGATATTGTCTATCAAATTCGTCAGCTGCTCCTTGGCCTGGATGAGAGGAAAACGGTGCGCCTATAGTGGGTCAAGGCCCATGCTGCCATTGTTGGGAACGAGCGAGCTGATGCTGTTGCAAAGATGGGTCATACTTTTGATCATTCTGCATTGTTTTGTCTCTCTTGTTCTGACACACTTACTTTGCTTCGTTCTTGCTTTCTCAGGTCTTGGGAACTGAACTGGATTGCTGCTTTGGCTGTTGAGGGAAAGGGACATCATCTTGCTTCCGTGCGGGGTGATTTGTCTCCTGTTCCATGGTGCCAGTTACTCTCGTCGTGCTGCTGTGGTGCTTACTCTTCTTCGATTGGGTCATGTTGATGTTCGGTCGTACCTTCATCGATTTGGCATGGCTGACACTCCCATGTGGGAGTGGTGTGGGCAGGGTGGCCCAGTGGTTAAAGTTCAGAGTACCGAGATTGACGCACTAGAGAGGCGCGGGTTCGATCCCAGCTCTGTGCGACAGATTCTGGTCAGAATCGGCAAAGAGGCCGGGCGGTTAAGCAAAGCAGAATTGTAGCAGTGAGTTGCGAGTTCGAGACCGCAACAAGCTGTAAATGTTCTGGGATGTTAAGAATCGGCGACAGGCCTACGGCCTAATAAACGCTGAAACCGCTCTAATGTGCTTGCATTGTGGGGTGGATGATACCGTGGACCATTTTCTCCTGGCATGCATGCAGTACCGCCTGGAGCGTCAGTTGCTGATCACTACTTCTCGAGCCACGGATGTGCACCATCTAACTGTTCGAATACTTCTTGGAGGAGGCAACTTCCGCAGAAAGATTCAACGTGCAATAATAAGAGCGACAATGACCTATTTAACACGAACAAATCGTCTGACTTCCCTGTAGTGCCATCTCCATCATGCCTTTACCTGTGATCAAAACCGGAAGCCCAGCTAATAGATCCTTCAAGGATCATTGACACAAGACGCTGAAATTTTCTGCAGAGTCCAGGTGTAACAAGTGGTCATCTTTCGGCTACTTCTTCACCTTCAAGCCGGCCACAACAACACAACAACGGTATTACAATACTTAGGCTGCTATGAACTCTAGACGGCATGGTTTCAAGTGATTCAACTTATTGGTTATGTCTACATTAACTCAAAAGTAATGCATTTATCATTTTGTCCCTTTCCTCATTCGAATCCGTTCTCCAGGAAAATTGACTTATGTTCCGAATGTGTCGTGTCTGATTTGCGGGGAGGACGTCCTTTATTTAGTTTATTAGTCCGTGATTAGCACAATATGTAATTAAGCTCAACGTAAGTGGTTAGGTACCTAATATTCGTGCCAAGCGCCATGAATATTTTTTAGTATTAAATTATCATATTATTTTAATTTATGACGTAGTTTTGTGCCACCGAAGTAGAGGTCACTTTTTGTGATTGTTGTTTTTGTTGATCTTATTATCTTGGACCTGAGTCTAAGAGGCTTGAGAAGTTGAGAGTTGAGTCTGTAAATTGTATAGTGGGTAGACATTTGAACTTTGAAGGTCTTTGGCTACACTTCACAAGTTCACACGTGTAATGCTAGTGAGTAATGTGGAAAATGTCTACTCTCCATTCTTGATTCTCCAACATGCAACTGGAATTTTCAATTTTGAAGCTGTTAATTTATTTAAGAACTTTCAAGCTGCAAAGCACAAACCAATTTCCCAAGCCATACAGTTTGGGCCATAGAAAGCCATTCTTGAACCATGAACTTATGAAGTGGCACAAAATCGCACAAAGCTACAAACCCCTTTCCTTTGCTTTGCAGTTTGCCATGGGCACCAATCCGCACCATGGCAATGGCATGATGGCCCTGGCCCAGCTGCCCATGGCCATGCTCAGAAATACTACCATCATCTGTCCATCATGCAGTGTGGAATCCTGGATAGGTAATATATTCTCAGTTTTATATAAAAAAATGGATTGAAAAGCCTACCACATAACAGTAACACCTTCCACAAGTTCCACCTCCATGCACAGTGGCAAAGCAGAGAGTTTTTTAGACTCTCCCTCAAGTTCAATTTTGAGTGCTATAAGTAGAAAGTAGCCCAGAGAAGTATCAAAAATGTATCATGGATACCTCATACCAGCATTATTACCTATACTTAAGAAATTGCTTTAAATATTGAGTAGGTAAATGAGGCAATTAAAAAAGAACTGATTCTAAAAAATCTCTGATTTGCCACTATGCAGGCTATCAGCTGACCAGGATGGAATTCTAAAATTTACAGTTCATATATTATTTTCACTACACCTAGACCAGTTTTTCGATACAACATTATTTGAGGCAATAAAATAAACTTCTTTTAGGCTTAAACACGTATAGGTAAAGGTATAAAAAGTTTCTATAAAGTAATCACTTAACTTGGAAATGTTGCGTGTCTGCAGGGCAGCTTGCACTCAACAATTAAAATTATAAAAAGTACTAGTTCGTTAAAGATTTGTCTCTTAATGTGACAGCAAAGAACTTTTCCATGATGCACAGTTGCACACAATAAACACGCAATTCATGGGACTGATGGGAGCAAGACTACATCCCCGATTGGAAATTTACGATCCTGATCAGGAGTACTCCAAACAAGGATTCCCACGGAATTGCGCTAAAAATGACGTGCACGGATTTGGAACGGGTTCTTAACCGTTCTTGCGGAATTGCCAAATTTCCAAGATTAAATGGATTAATAAAACTATGATTTTTAATATCTCTAAATTTATCCTTTTAGTGCTTTAATCAGAATGCCAATAAAGTACTTGAATCATTACAATGCGTTAACATTACGCCTTTCTTCTAAGACAGACTATAAAAAATACATTTATTCAAAATGCTGTATTATGAAAATAGTAACCTGATTGATTGTTCATTATCTACCCGCAATTGCGTGCATAAGAATAATACGATATACAGCAATAGAGCATTCAGCAATGTTCGAACTTGACAGTTTTACCTCATCAGCTCCTGCTGCTGCTAGCACATAGCCGTATATTCAATAAAAAGCGAAATGGTCAAATTTTGTCAGGAATGCGTCCTTTTTCCCTTCTAAGACGTTTTACAATAGCTGATGCGCCATAGTTCAAGCGCGTGTATGGAACACAGTGTTTTGATTGATGGAATTTGGCTGCATCCGTTATGAAGTCCATCACACCAAGCGAGGAAGAAGGACAATGCCAGTCCACTTTCGTACGATTCACTAAAACCTCATTTGACTGGCCGCCATATTGGCTCTGCGCATTCATGACTGAATAGAGACTTTCTACTATTGCCTCACAACCTCCTTTGGCCATTGCAACATCGAACGCGAGACAGAATGGCTTCCCAAATTTTGTATAAATTTCTGAATCAACGTACATTAGTGTAATGAGGTTTTCTTCTTTGAGTGTGATCTTGAAGTTGGCCACAGTTGATTTATGACTGAAACTCTGATCAAAATTCCTTGCTTGACAATTCAAATCAGGAGAGAATATGTCTGGCCGGCTTCCGTCATATGCCTCGTCTGTTTCGAAGATTTGCTTCCTCACCGACGAAGCTTCGGGCGACTCTGACCAAACTATCCACTTGAAGGTTGCCATAGCTTGCTGGAACACTTCGACAGCATTCTCCTCTCGAAGATAATCCTGCAGTTAATGTAGAAAAAAATTATTTTTACGACCAAAGTGAGGAAATTAAATTCGCCTAAGAATTAATTCGTAGCACCAAGATTGCATTTCCAAATAACGAGAGGTTATTTTACGACTGTTCGAGTTATTTCGTTTTCCTAACAATGATAGATACAAAATATGGAAATAATTCAATTATTTTGTCAATGTCACTGATAAAAAGATGATAACTGGGATCTTACCTGAAGATGAGGCAGCCGTTTCAAATTATTGAAGAAAGAGACAAACGCCTTCTGAGCCGCTTCGCTGCTTTCCGTTAACAAAGCTTCTTGTAAGGGAGTGCTCCACCTTCCTGCTTGAAGGCACACGAGTTTGGAGAGGTCAAAAGCCTCACCTAGAACTTCGACAGCGTCTGGTACAGATGTCTTCAGTCTTCGTTCTAGTTCAAAGCGGAGCTTGCGTACAAAATCAATGGCATCCTGCAGGCAGTCGCTTGGCTCTCGATAACGCCAAGATACAGGGTTCTTGCTGTTAGTTGCTGAAGACGTGTCTACTAGCCACCCGTTGACAAGAGCAACACCATTGTACTTTTTATCTTGAACAACTCCATTGATGACGCCAGCAGAGTTGGGCCACAGTCGCTTATTCAATCGAAAAGGTACACTGGGATCGACTGATTGTAAATTATTTTCCATCAATTCTAAATTCTCAAGTGTCGTCTTACTGTTAGTCAGAACTTTCCAGCAAGGTAGCTTCAGCTCTTGTGAAACAACCATCAGGTCCACAAGTTGTTTCAGAATGTCAGACACAAGGAGTAGATCAATGACGAAGTCTTGACCCACCAACATGTATTCATCTTCTGAGAACGATTCGTCGGTGTTGTGACGCATGCCTCCAAAATTGTACATTGCCTGCACATAATGGTGAAAACAGCGTTGTATGCTTGCGAAAGACTGCAGAGTGCTGGCTATGAAGCGGGTTGTGCTTAAGCTTTTGGTTACTAGGGTTTTTTCGTCCATTTGCTCCCCTATACTTCTAGCAATCGCTTGCATTTTTCCATAGCCAAGTTTGGTATGGAACCTGGCGGCACGTTCACACAATCGTTTCAAGTAAGGTTGGCTGATGAACTTCTTTGCGCACAGATCCATGAAATGACTTGGGTCCCAGATAACAAAAGAAAATTCATCTTGGACACCAACTGCGGTAAAAAAAGCATTTCTGAAGCGCTCGTTAGCGTACTGTCCATCTGCAACTGCGCCGGCACAAAATTTTTTGTCTACATTAGGAATTCGTGTCTGTAATTCTAGAAATATTTGGGCTACAAGACTCTCACTTTGGCCACCAGAAATTTCCCTTTCTCCTTCTTCAATTGAGTACACTTTTGGGGCTCCCAAGAAGTAAGCAACCCTTGATCCATCGATCATAGCAACAAGCATCACAGCTTGGTTACTCTCCCGTTGGGGAGTCGATTTGTCGAAAGTTAGAAAAAAATGAGGTGGATGCCCAGTTGATTTTAGAGGATAGCTCAACTTCTGGTCCAGACGTTCGTCAATTGTAGAACAAATGCTTTCAACTACATCGTTGAATTGCTTGCGAGAATGTTGTTTATTTCCAATGTCTACACCCAATGCTTCGAAGTTTGCAAGCTTGGTTTCATAATGCCGTGCTGCAGACTTCGATTTGATGACTTCAATTGCACAGATGATGAAATGTTTATTGATGAGAATGACCCTAGATTCTTCAATCTCATTATGCTCCATCATTTGCAGGCCTTTGAAATGGATGGTGGAGTGGTCCGCACCTTCCACGTGACGTTTTAGCTTAAATTTCCATCGCACCCAACGGCGGCCAGTTCCACTCCACAAATCAGCTTCGTCGTCTTTTTTGATCAGCAAACCATAGGGGAAGGCATCGTGGCGCTTTACGTTGCCACGGTACGTCCTTCCTTCTATAGAGTTGACGAACGTACTGCACGCGGTGCACTTTATGTACAACGTGTTTTGCAACCTGTGTTCTGTACAAAAAACTTTACTGACTAGAAGGAGTTCGTGAAGGTTTGTAACTTTATCCCACAAAATGGGTGTAGATGAGCAAAATTTTTCGGATGAAAATGGTACTGTAGGTTGCTTTATTGATGATTGTCGTTCGTACCGTAGATCCTTCCTAAGTTCCCTAATCTCCTGCAGGACCATGCTCAGCGGAGTATCTTCACCAGCAACATTTTCATTTCTCTCAGCAAGATCTTCAAGTTCGTCACCGATGATCTTCTCCTCCTCAACCGACGAACCTTCTGTGGTATCCGTCGTTGCTGCAACAGCGACAGTATGAGCACCCATAGACGCAATGGTTGCTTCCTCCTCAAATGCGGACGCGCGAGCTGCTTTATTTCTCTCAGCAGAAGTAGGCTCCTGAAATACTTTCAAATGTTACATGATGCTTTTTAATAAAAACCAAGCTACATATTTTGAAGCTATACTGTCAGACAGAAATAGCATAATCCTACTGCAAATTCATATATCATAAAAACAATGTATTGCTTGCCGCATGCAGCGATAGTAAAAAATGATTGCACAAACACTGAAAATTACTCATTAATAAGGAAACAAAATATTATGAAGTACGGTATTTGATTATATTTAAAATGCAACACATTAGAATGCTGCCAACCTGGACTTGATGCAAGTGCTCGTCAACTGTAGAAGATATCTGAGCCAAGCGTTTTGAAGGAGCAGGATCCTGAAATATAATTACAGTTTGTATGCTGCTACAATCAATGATTTTCAATGAGGTTTATAATTCATATCAAAACTAAATACTTCTTATTTACTGAAAATACAATGATACTGCATCGCATATCATTTTTAGTAATTAATCCCATCATTCTAATTCATCTCCACCTACATTATACAACAATTGATTACGATTAAATCAAAGTAAAAATTAATATGAACCACGGTTACTATGAACCACGGCTTCATGAATATTTTTCTACTCCATTTCGCTGAAACGGTAAAATAATACTACTAAAATACACCCACTATGAAAAACGGGATAAACTTCAATGTTTCATGAATCTTTCATGTCAATATATCCCTTACGTATAAGCTCAGTTATCACTTCTTTAAAAACGAATATGAATAAACATGTCACAATAGGAATTTGCAATAACGAACTAATTAGAAAGAGATAAATTAATGAATATTAAAAGCTTGTGGAAATAGGACAACAAATCTATTAACACTAGATGATGATGTGACCTGAAATCTTGTTTCCTAATATTTAGTTTAAGATTACTTTTTTACTTATTCGGAAAATGAGGAAATTAATACATAAACAAAAAATAGGAATACTTACATGCATGCAAAATCCCAAGCATAAGCTATATAAATGATGCTTAACAACAAAAGCTCATAGACATAGAATTTTTCGGGAGAAAAAACTTGTACTCAACAGAAGCCACTACACGAGCTTAATATAACTATGGCTCATGCACAATGACCGTTTTAGTACGATCTATTTAAAAGGCATACACAGTCAACATTTCTCTTTACGGCATATGGAGGCAGCACAATGGAATGGGATGCAGCACAATGGGATGCACAGCTGGCTATGCAAACAAATTGCGACAGTTGTGAAAGCAAGCAAGTGTATTTTTGATTTTACGACTGACTAAAAAAATTGTTTAGAGATAAACGTAGAGATAAAAAGATGTTTAGAGTTACAGTTAATATTCCCTTAGTATTATACTCTATTTCATATATTCTACGCATTTGCTCTTGGAATTTATTGTGTAAAATTTACACTATTGAAATTTTCATATATTTATGTTATTTTGCGTGTATATCATTTGTGTTATAGACATTACAACTATGATAGCTTATCGTTGTATGTAAACATAAGGTACGGGTTGATTGTGAGAACGCAGCAATTTAGAATATTTTTGTTCTTCAACAAGTATGGTTCACTCAATACGAGCTAAAGCAAGTTGCCAATAGAAAAACTATATTGGAAGCATTTCACATAAAACAACGACAGGTACGATATGCAATCAACACGAAAAAAATATAGAACAAAACTTACGAGGCATGTGTGTAAAATAAGTTACACGTTTTGCCGCTGGCGCTAGGCAACAAAGGCAGGTTGTTTGATTCCCCAACTGCAATCCCTTACCAAGCTAGCGTCCCTGCGACGTTTGGTTTTGCTGCAGCAGGTGTCAGCAAAGGAGCTTCCTGTTGCGTCTCCCGTCAGCTGCGAGTTGCGGTCTGTTGCTCGTTTCCTGGCCGCTCAGAAGAAATCAGCGAAGGAAATTCACGAAGAACTTTGTCAAGTGTATGGAGAAGAGTCTATGAGCTCCGGGATGGTGCGCAGATGGGTCAGGGACTTTAAAAATGGCCGAACTGACGCCCGTACAGGGACGCCCGCTGCCGCCACGACGACGCCCGCTGCAGCTGGTGGTCTGCTGTGAGCTTTGCTGATACCAATAATGTGCAGAACTTTGAATTGCCTAAATGTTCAGTCAAAATCTTGTCAATTGTGGTATTGCTGACCTCAGGAATTTTTCACCTAGCTCGCTAACTGTAATCTGTCGATCTTCAAGCCTTACCGCTACGAATTTGGCAATTGTAATTTTTTTTCTTCAGAAACCAATGGCCGCCCTGCATGGGCGTCGTCGTGGACGTCATTTCGACCATTTTTAAAGCCCTTGACTCATCTGCGCACTATCCTGGGGCTCTTACACTCTTCTCCATAAACTTGACAAAATTATCGGTGAATTTTTTTTCGCCGATTTCTTCTGAGCAGCCAGGAAACGAGCATCAGACCGTAACTCGCAGCTTGTGGAAGACGCAAGAAGATCCATCGCTGACGTCAGCTGGAGCAAGACCACAAGTCGCAGGGACGCTGGCTTGGTAAGGGATTGCAGTTGTGGAATCAAACAACCTGCCTCTGTTGCCTAGCTGCGCACAGAAATGATCCTAGGCCAGCGCCAGCCCGTGGAACTTCTTTTGCGAACACGCCTTGTAATTTCCTTTCGAGTTTGGCGGAACCTAAATTTGTAGGCAAAAAAAAAGGAAGGTAAAAAAATATAAGCGTGAATAACGATTGGACATCTCACACTTGAGCCGGAGCTACGTCGCTTCGTCGTTACACTGCTTTTACTAGGCGCCTTCACCTTCCACTGCTGCCATTTCAAAAGAGCATCTCTTGCTCGTACGTCTCTCGGTGTTATAAATTCTACAGTACGTACTTCATTTTTATGTTGGTGTTTCTTGTGCATGGCTCTAGTGCTTACATTATCTCTGTTCAGGGAATAGAGCCATGGACTTTTCCCTGTTTTGTAGCAATCGTAACAAAAAAGCGCCGGAGAATTCACTGCTGACGATGCATTTACAGATGAACCGCTCAAAAAAGACCAGCCTGATACAAGGAACTCAATATTGAATATTGTTTTAGAAGTTTAAATGCCTAAAAAAGTGATAAGGATCAAAAGAAATATTGAAAAATTAAAAATTAAATAAAATATAAATTGAATTTAAATAAAAATTAAATTTCAGAATTCAAATCGGTTACTTTTCGCTGCTACTTGCTGTAGTTAGTTATTCTGTTAAATGAATGTTTACTTTGTGAATAAAACAGTATCAATTTATTCGTCGTAAATTATAATATGAAAATTCCATAATAATTGCTTTATTAGTTTATAGAAAGAAATCTAGTGACGAACATGAAAATATTTAAACTCGTCCTTGTACGTATGCAAGGACATGGAGTGATTTCATACAAATGTGGTTGATTCAGAAAACCTGACAAAATATTATTCAGCTACTTTATAAATATACTTTATAGTGACATTTCACTTGAATGTGCAAACAAACCTTTAGCTGTCGCTGCAGACGGACCCGGATTTTCTTCAGCATCTGCAGTCATCTCTTCTTCATCGGAGGTCGTGTCAGCAAGAGCCTCGGCCATCATACAAAACGTTGCGCTCTGTAAATCACGAGTTTATCAGTGCGATATCAGTGCGCACACTAAGAGCCTAACAGGATCATTATTATTATGATCATACAATACTAGATCACTCTAGGATCTTTATATAACTAGAAGTTTTAGAATTAAAATTTTTCCCAGTATATTGAATCTTTCGAATTTGGATTACATACATCGGACAATCAAGGTTTTCTTTATATGAATTTCACAATTTACATAAAAATTATGTTTTGGTTTATGAAAATAATACAATTGACAACACTAGGCGAAGTAATTGTTACTTGTCGAATGCAAGCGGTGATCGTAAAGTGAGCGGGAGTAGCCTACGTTTACGTCTGACGTAAACGTAGGCTACTCCCGCTACTGGGCGCAGTGAATTCCACTACTCTGGCACGCCCCAATCAATCAGATCGGGATCAATATTTAAAAAGGTAAATAAGCAAATTATAATGCCTATTGCGCTGTTTCAAGGATTTTTTTAGCATATTAACCATCGCTTGTTTTCTACTAAAACGGGAGAATTCAACCACTTTGGCACAAGCGCACAACCCTACTCAATTCGTGACCAATTCTTTGGAAATTAAATAAGCAAATTCCAATGAACATAGCGTAGTGACGAGGACTATTTTTTGCATTTTATTACCTCCCGTTTTCAATTAAACGGTATTACAGGTGGAACCAAACCTAACATTACCTAAACGCAAACGTGAAGCCTTACATAAACGCTATGTATTGAGGTTAAAAACATCCTAATTGTTTGTTTAAATTCATAATTATTGGTCAAGAATTGAAGAAATTGGGCGCACCGAAATGGTTGAATTCATCCGTTTCATGTTATTAATTGGAAACCTGAAAAGGCAAAAGTGCGAAAAATTTTCGCCTCAGCACCGTGAGTTGGGAAATGTGCGTATTCAATTTAATATATATTTTTTTTTAAATCAAAGAATTGGGAGTGCCGAACAGCCGAAGTCAGGCGGAGTGGTTGAATAAACTTGTTTCAGTATTTTAATTGAAAACGGACGGTGGTAAATATGCAAAAAAAATCTTACTGCAGTCCCATAAGCATTGAAATGTGTGTATTGCAAATATTCTAAAATTCATGAAACGCCAAAAATTTAAACGCAAAAAATTTAATGCATCATTTAATTAAAATTTTTCAAAAAGGAAAAGGCTTTGCTTATACGTCTACCAAAGTGAATTTCTTGCCAGATGTCTCAAGTATTTGTCATCTTGTTGAGAAAAAGTTAGATAACTAGTGAAAAGTTTGCATGTATATGATGTATTTTAGACTAATAAAAAGATTGCACGCAGCTTGTCAATATAAGTAATATAATACTGGCGTAGGATTTGTAAGGTTCGATTGCCACACGCACACAGTAATTACAGAGCTTTTTCGATCACGCCAGGAATTTTTGTCGTAGTTTTATTAACAAAATAGATAGTTCCTTTTTGAAGACCGGCATTAAATGTGTTTGCCTGTGGCAAAGTTAGTGGCATTGACGGTTATTTGATTATGGGATTTCATTTGGCGGTTTAGGAGATCGTTCAAAGACAACCAAACATTTACGTTTCTCATGGTTAATGCAAAAAAATTTTGAGATATATCACACTGCGCAGAATACTGAGAAACCAAGAAATTTATAATGAACATGATGAATTAGCTAATCCTTGCTTCTTATGAAGCAACATTTGAAAATTGAAATTAAATTTGGATGACGGCATGAGTCACCAACACCGCAACACGTGACAGCGCGGTTATGTTCCTTGAATGACAGACTTGAGTTGACACACCCAAATTTCAGCTCCTATTTACTACGTAAAGAACCATCAGAGCAAACCTTCATTATTTAATTGTAAAGGAATGAAAAACAGTTCAACTTACCGTTGATTACGAAAGAGTTTGTCGAATAACTCGAAGATGTCTTCTATTATGAAGGCAACCGTAAGAGCACACCCACACACGCGCGAATCAGGGTTTAGACTGCGAGCCTGCGAGGATGCCGAGGAATTTGTAGTCTCAGACTCGGATAGCCAGAGCCCTTTGTTCGGTAGACGGTTGTCACACTGCGACTGCGCACACGGATTGCGTTCACGTCACATTTGTTCCTAGAGCAATACGACGGTCGATGAACATGAACGTAGCTCCTGTACAGTAGCTGCTGTTCGATCATGTGTCTGACGCAATTTCCAGGCTTCGAACTTCGCACGGATTTCACTTTTCCGATAGCACTGCGGAATTGAATTTGACTTTGGTGTTTATTTTGTTCATCCTGCGGAATTGGGGCCAATTTATTGCAGCCGAAGCCATCTGCGGAATTGATTAACAGAGGGACAAATCCCTCTGATGTCGCGTTTCTTCCACTTAGGCTTACAGCTTCTATGATGATTGACGAATGACGAATTTGACGGTCTCACTCATATAGCTAAAATTTTTAAATTGAACCGAAGACCTCATTATCGAAGACCTCATTATCGAAGACCTCATTGATTGCAGAACTTTAGTTTTCGCAAGTGTATTCAAGAAAAGTTTCTGAAATAGTAGGAACAATTCCATTATCATTCTGAAATAGAAACGTCATTTCCGTTCTTACATATAAACAGGATTAATAAAATACCTATCAAATCCATCCATTGTCACTCAATTTGTGATGTATGAAGGACAGTTTTACTTTCATTCCTATGATGCTCATTTTTACCGGTTGAAGCTGTAGAATTAAATTAAATTAAAAAATTAATTAAAATTAAATTGTACTAAATCAAATTTTATTATTTAATACACTAGATGGTACAAGCTGTAGAATTAAATTCTATTAGAAAAATGTTGAATTATTCCCATGTTAAACAACGAAAATTTTCTAAAAGACACAAAACGTTTGAAAACGCAGGATGGCAGATGAAATCATTCAGAATTTGAAGTGAATTTATCAAGATAAATTCAACATAATAGGGCAAAAAATTCAAAGCTGGAACGTATAAATAGGTTTTTATAATTTAAAAAAAACTTTCAATCATTTAAATCTCAGAATGGAATGTGAATCAAGTCTATTTATTGTGAAATCAAACTAGACACAACCAAAACATAAGTGTGTGACACCGTCTTGTGAGAAGTAAACAGAAAACGCCATGTGAATGTAAGCAATGAAAGAGTGGAAGTTTATCTCATAATTTTGTGTGTGAAATCGAAAACTTTGTGGGTGTTGTCCAATCGTGAGAATTTTTTATGAAGCTGGATGTGTGTTTTTTTTTTTTATTTTAGAATGTATTCATTGCAAAAATGTGTCCGCAAGCCTCCAGATAAATGACTAGTTAACTTGATTAGTCGTTGGCAACACGGGATTGAATTTCAAACCACGTGCGATTTCGGAAGCATGCTACGTAGTTTCCAATGAGCTCAGTTTATAAATTTTCATTGCAGTGGAAGGTGGTGTAACACGGTGGTAGGGTTGGTATTTCGATACGTTTTCTTAAATTGACATGAGAATATATTACCTATACAGAATTCCACACTGCTCAGCTCAGTAACAATTGAGTCACTGAGCTGAAGCAGAAACTGACACGCTTCTGATATTGTGCTTATGGTGGTATTCCAGGGTGCAGACTGCAGAGGGTGGAAGCAGCGTTGCCAATATAAGGATTTTTAAGCCCAAAGCGTCGCCAACCATTTTCAAGATGCGTCGCCGGATAATTTTTAATGAAAAGCTATTTACGCTGAGTAATGAAAAACTATTTACAAGCCACGAACTTATTTGCAAGGTTGCATGCACGTGTTACCCCAAATAACTAATTTTACCTTAAAAACAGTCCGATTATACAGTAAGTGTCAACTGAACATGTGATAATGTAGTCTGACCGCTCTAAGGGACCGCAACTACACAATCATAAACTTGTTTACATTTTTTTTGCGGGAACTCATCGCAACTGATTTCCGGACAAGCTTCACTGCATCCTGATCCATTCAACATACCGGAAACCTTACTTTTTTCTAAATAGTTGGCCGTTGACTGGCAAATATATTAAATGCAAGAATTTCAATCTAAATGTGTCTGCAAGATCTTCTGAAGGCAAAAATTTTGCTACTGAAGCGTCACCAAAGATCTTGCAATATTCATCCACTCTCTGCACAGTGGGTGGTATTCTAAATACCTTCTAAATGACCATGTACCTGTGTAATTGAGGAGCATAGTGGCCAAAAATAGTAGCGCACTCACCCCATTAGTAGTGGGCTGGCCGTGCGCTCAAAAATAACCAGGAGGGCGCGAGCAGGATAAGAATGGGACAGCAATCCTGGTGGATCTAAATGACATACCATGGCAATGCCTAGAATTGGTACATGTGCAACCAGAACCAGTCCAACCCATGCGCAATTTGAGCATGGGTTTGGGTTGGACTGTCGTAAGTCCATAGTGACGAACAAAATACTTTTTAGACTCGTCCTCAAGTTCAATTTTGAGTCCTAGGAGTCTAGGTAGACCAGCAAAGTATCATGAACACCAGCTGACCAGCATTATCATACATAAGAAATTGATTTAAATCATGAGGGAGTGGGAGTCTGAAAAAATCTTCTTTGCCACTATGAATTGGTCATAACAGGTCAGCAATGCCTGATTCAATTGCATTCACTACCATCAAACGGGGTAATAAGGGATGTTTTGAGCATATTTTGTTAATAACTTCTTACCATGAAACATTTCAGAAACAAGTTTAGGCTCATTTTAAAGCTCTTTGTGAGAACTATCAAATGGCATCTCCAAAAAAATTCCATATGCTATACGTGAGGAGCCAGAAGCAAAATAAAAGCATCCCAAATTACCTCTGCAAACAGGGTAATCCAGGACACTTGCAATAAAATTTAATTTTAAAACATTTGCAGCATGCAGAGTGTACTCATCCGTTACTAACAGTACCCTGAAGTCCTCTTTCATTCTATATGATGTAGATGTAGAATAAATGACATTTTTTGTTATTTTTACTTGTTTTTCATTTATTGATATATTACTATATCCATGAACATGCCATTGAGCATTTACAATGACCTTGTCCACTGCAAGCTTCATATCAGCAGTCATATAGCATTTCTTCTGTATCTGTAAGCTTACAGGATGGCTTATAATTTCACACCATTTTAACTGCGTTGAGTGAATTCACTATAAAAAAGGTGGTAAAAAAAAACATACCTGAAACAGAAAGGAATGTTTAAGTGACAGCCATCATATGTTTTGGAGAAATGGATCATAGTTTAGGTCAATTACTTTTCATTCTATGATGCCTGGTGCACAATTCTATATATGAAATTCTAAGCACAATTTTGTGATGATCGATGATGCACTAATTTTTTGACAAGTGAATTTTTTTTTGCTGAGCAAGGTAAATGTAATCAAAATTCTTTGTTAATCATTTTTTTTTGTTAACTGGAGCCTTTTCTAACTGAGGTTCTACTGTAAATGTGTTTTTAAGGGTGTCCCTTATTACCCCATTGAGTGGAAATGGCTGCCATTTTTTTTTTTGGAATGAGATAGGCAAATTCTGTCAATCGCGTTTCTAAGCCGACACCTTTGTGCAACTTTTATGTAAGTAAAATTTTTTAATATGGCAAATATTTTTTTGCTCCAGACCTTAGTAGAGGTACTCTTCCAAAATCTCACTTTTCATACTTTTTTCAGCAATTTTTTAGAGATGGTAAATGTATGATGTCTCAACTAACTTTATACATAATAGATAGTAAAAATGTTGAACTTTATGCCACTATTTTTAGTTTTGCTATATTTTGATTAGTTCAGCTGCTACAACATTTCTATGAAATGTGGGATGTGCATCCCAATTTACCCTGCCCGTCCCTTATTAGCCCATTTGACTGTAGTTGTTCATCAGTATCTGACAAAATGTTGCAATGAATATGTTCCAATAGTATCAAAAAAATTACATCAACTTATGCAGAAAGTTCTCACAATTTCACAAATACCAACAAAGTTTTTCTAACATCACAAAATTATTGGATAAACTTCAAATCTTTCACAGCATCTGGCAACATTGTGCCGTGATGTTAACATATGACCAGACAGTGGGCAGATACATACCATCGCCATCACCTTGTTTCAGTAATGTAAAGTTTGATTTCACAATAAATAAATTTGATCCACATTTCACACTAAGATTTGAGTGTTGAAAAGATGTTTCAAAATTTAAAAACTGTTTGACATGAATCCAGGTATGAATTTTTTCATGTTTTTGCCCTATAGTGTCAATATTGTCTTAATAACTTCACTTCAGATTCTGAATGATTCCATCTCCCATCGCTACCGGTAGTCTTAGAAAATGTTTGTTGTTTAGAAGTGGTAATTATTGCACTAAATAAATCATTGAGCGTTTAGGCATGTACCATAAAGGGGGCATTAAATAATTTAATTTAATAACATTTAATTTTTAATTAAAATTTTTAACTAAAATTTTTAGTTGATATTTTTTAATTTAATTTAATTATATAGCTGCAGCTGGTAAAAATGCTCATCAGAGGAACAATGGTAAAATTGTCATCCAGACATCCCAAAGGCTATGAACTTTATTCATAAGAAATAGTTGTGAACTGTATTATTTTCACTTTTAAAAAATAAACAATATAACTTATTAACATAGGTAGGTGGCCGGCCACTAGTGGCGGCCTGCAGCTAGCTATTTAAAATATTTAGAAGAGTGAGACTTTCAAAAGATTCATAAGAAAAAAATTGTTTCTTGGCATAAAAGTCCAAGTATATTTCAAACCTTACTCAGAAATTATGCAAATGTTAATTAAATTGAACTGAATATGCAGTTTTTAATATGAGATAGTTAGCAAGTGTGTATTGAAATGTCTTCTTTATTGACAACTGGAATTCTGTTAACCCACCAAAGAAAGAACAGAAGTGTGCACAGTTGTACACGTGATTTCATTACATAACATACATTGTATGAATTTCATACATTGTACACTTGATTTCATTACAATGTGAGCTTGCTCCATCAAATTGCTTACGTGGTAAGCATCATGTTAAACTATTATTGGTGGCATGATTTGTTATGAATTCATAAATGTTAATTTGTTATCTTTGATTAGGAGACAAATTGTTAATACATACAATACATTTTTTCAGAATGACTTATTTGATAGCAAAATAATTCTATATTTTCTTAGTTTGTAGAAGGCAACCTGTCGAAGTGTAATGCTAGTTAGGTGAAATGCATGGTAACCTTGCAAAAAAAATTGCCCCATTAGCACAAATTGGGATTCTTTACTATAAACATTTGCCTCAGGATCATACTGCACATATTGCCATTGTTATTCTATTTTAATATGCCAATCAAAAAATTATAAAAATGTTAGAATAATGGACCCATGAAGGTTATTGTTTAATGTAATGACTAATGTAATGTTGATGTAAATTAACTTAATTTTGTACTTTTCTCTCTCTAGAAGGTTATACATTTTTGTATTATATTTCATAGATGCATGAGTTACTGCAATGGATAAGGTTTTAAAGTCATCAATAACAATATTGATATCTTATTCCATGCTCATATTGAGCAATAGCATGAAATTAGATAATGTCTTTGAAGAAGGTGATCCTGTTTCACCACACTTTATCAAAACTGTTGAATTCATAAGTATCACTAGTCAAGTTGACATAGACTCGTCCATTCAAGTTCCTAGCATAAGAAGAAATATAGCTACAACATTCACGGCCTGTGATGATAATCAACATGTGATACTTCAGCTACATCAATATCAAATAGACAGAGGTATGTAATAGATATTGATAACTTGGATAATTTTGATAAATGTGTCTGCTATGCAAAGAAGTAATTATTTATAAATACAGTTCAAGTGACATACATACCAGTACAATTATACTGTAATCTAAATGGAGAATCAGCAAAGTATAATATAACCTACGGGTACCTACTATCTTCTACATTCAAAAAACCATTTCATGTTTTATATTAAAAAAAATGTTATCAACTTTTGGTTACTTCTATCACATCATTTGTTTCTTACAAAATAAGCATTGCAAAGATGTTGAGTAACAATTTATTATTATAACACCTTATAAATGGAATGTTATTTAAATGTTTTCGTTTCTAATTTTTCATGATTTCTCTTACATGCTAAATGCTACAAGTTACTTAAGCCAGAAGTTCTTGAAACATACATATCCAAAACTACTAGAATAAAATTTGGGTAGAAATTTCATGGTATTGTGTCTATTTCTTCAAAAGTTATGAGAAAAATATAAATTGTTTTCTTAGAGGACAGCACTAAATGTAAATATTGAAATGGTATGGAGAGGCCACATTGTAACTTTTCAATCTCAATTAAAAGAACTCTAAAGTTTTAGCCTGTCTTTAAAGGAGTGTGAACTTTTAATTGATGCTAGTTAAAGTTTTTAGGCAGTGTGTATGACCAATTTAAAGGTCACTACGCACCCCAATTCCAATTCATAACTTAAATTGAAATTAAAGCTGATTTATGTTAATTTTAGATGCCAAATGTAAATATTGAAATGGTATGGAAATACCACATTGTTACTTGTCAATCTCAATTAAAAGAACTCTCAAGTTTTAGCCTTTCTCAAATTAAGTTAGTTAGTTTGAGAGTTATTTATGGCCTGTCTAACTCTCAGGTTAAATTAAAATTAAAGCTGATGTATGTTCATTTTAGGTGCCAGAAAGCATCTTGATGCCAATTCATAAGTTAAATTGAAATTAAAGCTGATGTTTGTTTATTTTAGGTGCCAGAAAGAGTCTTGATGCCAGTCAAAATGGTCAAGACTGTGCTGCTAAGTGCTGTAGTGCTGCGCCTGAAGTGTGCAGTTTGGCTCTGTATAACTTTGACAGTCTTGTGTGTGAGGCTGTATCCTGCAGTCCAGACAACCCCTGCTATCTTCTACCTCAAGGTGGGATTTATCTACTTCATCCTTTCATCATTCCTCTGAAGTCTGAAGATTTCAAATTTTTTGTTTTAATAATGAGTTCTAATTAGTTATATAAGAGTTAAACCATTATCTAGCTTACTCACAATTTATCTTGGTATTATATGCTATTGTTGGTCTTGCGGCCGCTGTACACCTGCAAGCGCGAGAGCAGAACTTTAAGATGAATTGCGGCTGTTTTATAATAATATTTCTTTTTGTCGTATGTCTTACCACTAAGTATTTTTAGTTATTTATGTCACTATTTTTGTTGTATGTCTTTCCAATAAAAAATATCAGTTATTCATGCCACTAAAAAGCCTCTGCATTCTCTGATAAAAACGCTCATTATTTTTAATTTTTAGTGCATTTTCTCATTTATGGAAAAAATACGCTATTGTGCTCGCCATGTCCGTCTGTCCGTCTGTTTGCTGTCCATGACTTCACGTTTTCGTCGACGAGAAAATGCGTGCTCTGTCACTCACTGCAGTGAGTACTGAGTTGTATTTTTTCAACTTCCTGCTTGGGTCATTCTGACCAAATTTGGCCCGGCGAGAGGGCGCTTGTTCTGTGGAGATGAAAGTGCGTCTCTATTAAAACAAAATGACCATATATTTTTCTGAGCGTGAACAAGAACTAATGATCTAATGGCTTGTAGTTCTTACACCAATAAAAAGAAATTGCTATATTGTTCAAAAAGTGGCAACCCTTTATCATCCACATCGCGTATCGAGATTGGACGAAATAGGCCCTTTTAAAGTGTCAAACTGGGTGCGGATGAACCACAATAGGTAAAAAGTGCATCATAAATTGAGATCACAAGTAACATCGTCTGTCTGTCTGTCCGTCTGTCCGTCCGTCTGTCTGTCCGTCCGTCCGTCTGCCTGTCCGTCTGTCCATCCGTCCGTCTGTCTGTCCGTCCGTGACTTCACGTTTTCATCGACTAGAAAATGCGCTCTCTGTCACTCAATGCAGTGAGTACTGAGTTGTTTTTTCATTTCTATAGTAGGCCAAATGTCAGAGTTGTTTTAAGTTGTTTTTTTTTTCATTTCTATTGCAGGCCAAATGTCAGCAGGTATGCAAGTGGTATTGCTGCCGGTGTCATCCAATCAAGCCTTTGTTCAGAGTTCAGCACTAAACAGGTATTGTAAATATGATCACATCAATGTTGATTCTTATTATATACCTAATTCAAGTAACTATTGCTCTAATAAACTTAATACTGCATTAAATTAACATGTAAAAGATGCTTTAGAGTATGTGTTGCCATTATAGTTTTATGAATGAGTAGTCAAGGACCTGAAAGTTTATATATTACTGTGATTATATACTCTTTTAGCTTATAAAATACATTTTGCTCTAAAATCAAAACAAATGATAAGGAAAAATTCATCCTTTTCCTGTAGCTCATCCACAAACTAACCCCATCAACATTTTAGCTCCATTATATGTGATTATTGTGATGTTGCAAGATATGGTAATTTAGAAGATGCTTGCTTGTTGTTTACAGTTATTTGGGTGGTGAATGTACAGTTGCTTTGGTTCAACACTAGCAAGTAAAAATCGCAATATTTCCCTTATTTATTAAGTGCCACAAAATGTCAATAAATCACCATATGATGTGGTGACACTAATCATGTATAGTTAGGGCTGTGACTGCTTTTTACAAACTTTTTTCATTTTTTTAATGAAAATTAGTAAAATTTACAGCTTTGCAATGAGGTATTTGAATTCATAACCAAGCTGTTGTCTTCATGTGTCTCAATGTTTAATAGCGGCTAAAAAACTTTTTCCACATTGATGAGTTTTGTGATTTTTGACCAAAATATGTATGCATCAATTAAAATCTGTTGTATTCCACTGAAATCAGCAAATGACTTACCAATGCAATTTGAACTGCATAAATGTGGTGGTTTACCTTCATATTTATTATGAACTCCTTTGGCAATTATTGTTTTAACTTTGTAATTTTTACCAGATCCACAAGATCCTCCCAGAGGTTTGGTATTCAATCAAACCGCCATTGGAGATTCAAGCGATCAACAAATCTGGCGAATTCTCCCTCTCATCCATCTAAACTTCCATCTTCTTCAAGCAGCAGTAATATAAAAAGTGATAGTGGTGGTCAAGTTTCAAGTTCGAGTTTCCATACCAACGCTCAATTAAATAAACCTGGAAAAACATTTGTGATGAATAACAAAGTCAATGTCAATACACCAACTGCAAATCACATTGAGAAACCAAAATTTGAAGCACTAAGCAGCAGTCCGAAAGTAAGTGCCAGTCAAAAATTGATCAACTCCCACAACAACAATTCTACACATCCAGCTATTATTCAGAAAAATCTTTCAACAGCTCCTCAGTCAAAGTCTGAAGATATATCATCTCATACAAACCACGTTGACCAACTTGTTGCTTCTATTTCTAAGCCTGTCTTTCGCATGGAAGATGTTAGTCCAAAATACACTCTATTAACGTGTGAATTAGGCATGTCAGACTGTAAAGCCAATGAGTTCTGCGAGGCGATCGGCGACCGAAGACGTGATGGATTATGCAAGTGCTTAGAAGGATTTACACGTAACACAGATACAGGAACCTGTGAACGTGTATCCACTCCAGCTGGTAATATCTCCATAGCAGGCATTACATCACTTGCAAATGTTAGCTTGGGATCTACTTCTGCACCTGTTCCCATAGTGACTACGACTCCATACACTCCTCGCACGCTCGATGTTACTGTTAATAACAAAACAGTTTGGCTTCCTGCTGACAAGAACATCTATGAACAAAGCGTTACGTTGTCTTCTTATGTTATTGGAGGTAGGTTAATTGTCTATCATTGATACCATGTGTTTTGTTCCGGATTAAAAATAACTTAATGTGTTGCTGTGCTGGATACAAGTTTAATTTGATATATTTCAAGTCTTTTCTAACTCACGTACTTTAAATTTCAGGTTGATGAAAAATTGATTCTACTTAATCATTTTCTACCTAATTTGAGGTATACACTTTCTGCCTATATACATATAGAGTCTCTAATCTCCCTATAATAAATAATAATAAAAGTTTGGTTTACAGGTTGTCGTGATTGTCAGTATGAATGGACACTAATCCAGCGTCCAGAAACAAGCTCAGACTCGGCAGGGTCACTCACTGAGCCCCACAGCCCAACTGTAACCCTTGCCCACCTCGTGGCCGGCACCTACCTCTTCTCGGTGAGAGTTACTCAACCTGGAGACTCCAGCGACTCTTCAGGGATCATTCAACCGGCAGCGGTGGGCTCTACCGTTGCCAACCTCACAGTTTTGAAAGCCCATCAAGTGAACAAACGTCCTGAGGTTGTCATTGTTCCTGCAAAGCAGAAGGTCAGCTTACCTACCACTGCTGTTATATTGGATGGCTCGGGGTCATCTGATGATAATACCGAGGCATCAAAACTTGAGTTTAAGTGGGAGATTGTCACGGGACCACTGGATTACAGTCTCGAACAAGAGATAGGCCAGACTCTCACGTTACAAAACCTATTTCCAGGCAACTATACCATAATGCTCAGGGTCAAAGATTCCGAAGGACTTGAAGGAAACTCCACTGCTTTTGTGGAAGTTGTTCAGGAGAAAGACTACCCTCCCGTTGCGAACGCAGGCGGCGACCAAATTATTTATTTACCGCAAACTCAGACCCTGGTTTACGGAAATGCTAGTGCGGATGACCACGGCATCGTTGAATGGGAATGGACAAAAGGCAGTGACGACGACGGCCATCCTGTGGACATGCAGGACACCAGAACTCCCGTCCTCAAGCTGTCAGGGCTTCAAGAAGGCCACTACCAGTTCGTCCTGAAAGTCGTCGACAGTTCCCGACAATCAGACTCTTCGGTCGTAAACGTTTATGTTCACACGCCTGACGCTGCAGCATTGGTAGCAGATGCTGGAGCTGACATTACAATCTCACTGCCATTAGTTGACGCAATGTTGGATGGGTCAGGTTCTAGAGGGGTTCTTGAGAGTACTAACGTGTCTTGGACATTGATAAGCGGTCCTTCGACGCCCAAGTTCGTCCCGTTTCCTGATGATAGGCTCCGTGTAAATGTTACTGGTCTCACGCGTGGTTCTTATATATTCCAGCTGCAACTTACGAGTCAGGATAACGTTCGGACCACAGCAGATACAGTCACTATCACCGTCAAACAGGAGCAGAACCTGCAACCTAAAGCAAACGGTGGCGGTGACTTCTCAGTCACGTTGCCAGTCTCGTTAGTTCAGGTCAACGGGTCGGCCTCGTCAGACGACGTTGGTATAGTAAAATGGCTTTGGGAACGCCTTCCTATTTCATTAGCAGCTGGCTTAGTCCTGGGGCAATCTGCCACGTCTCCAGTGCTGATGTTGACTGGCTTGGTGGAGGGTCAATATCAGTGGAAACTCACGGTATGGGACGACCAAGGAGTCTCAGATTCTGACACCGTTTCTTTCATAGTAAAACCAGGACCTCACAACCGGGATCTTGTCGCTATCGTCTTGGGTGCCGGCATAGAAAGCGTCTCTCATGCCCAGCTCACTAACCTACTCAAGGCTTTCAAAGTGGTTCTTCCTGCCACCTTTTCCCTCCAGCTCATCGATTTCACAGGGGTACCTCATGCTGGGGAATGTTCTGCGGTGATCCTCGGTTACAATGCAAGTACAATGTCTGGGGAAGACTCAGTAGCCCCGCAGCCTGGGGCTGCCTCTAATATCATCGGTGCTACTTCATACTCAGGAGAAGTTGTAGAAGGTACACGACTCGCCGCCATGTTGCAGTCTGGCGTCAAAGCTGCTATCGCGAGTTCTGGAAACCTCTTCGAGATTCCCATCATTTCTATTCACACGGTCATCTGCCAGAATAACTGCTCAGGTTTGCTCTAAATTAAATCTTGAAAAATTGTTATCTTTGTTAGTAGGTAGGTACTTAGTACCTACCTAGGTAGGTACTAAGGTACCTAGGTAGTACCTACCTACCTACCTACCTACCTAGGCAGTACCTACCTAGGTAGGTACTAAGGTAGTAGGTAGGTACTTGAAAAAAGTACCTACCTACTATAGTATTTAACCCTGTCACATGTTATTCAATTTTAGTCACACTGTCATCCACCAAAGCAACAACTCTAGTTGTTTAAGAATTAAAATAGATATTTTTCCTGTTTTAATAGAAACAATTTGTTTCAATACTACCACTTTACAGATTTTTACATCTTGATTTTTTCTCCGATAATTTCAATTTTCACATCTATTGTGATCATCTTTATGTAATATGTGTATGCTTTTCACTATTATCAAAATATTGATGGAATGACATGAGTTCTATTGACGTTTTTCAAAATATTGATGGAATGACATGAGTTCTATTGACGTTTTTCAAAATATTGATGGAATAACATGAGTTCTATTGACATTTATCAAAATGTTGGAATGACATGACTTCTATTGACGTTTATCAAAATGTTGGAATGACATGAATTTATAGACGTTGACTTATCAACAATTCAACAGGTCACGGCGAGTGTGATCAGGCCAGGAGAGAGTGCGTGTGTCAGAGCTGGTGGATGGAGTCCTTCTGGCGCCGACACTTCGGTGATTCATCACCTAATTGTGGTGAGTTTGTCACCTAATTGTGGTGAGTTTNTGAGTTGTTCAGTTGTGGTGAGTTGTTCAATTGTGGTGAGTTGTTCAGTTGTGGTGATGTGTCACCCAATTGTGGTGAATTTGTCACTTAATTGTGGTAAGTCAAGTAACAGCGTAACTACTGGTTTTTTAATCAAGTTCTTGTGTTAAATTTGCAGTCGAAACTCCAAACTTTGCTAAACGAATTGCCTTCCAAAACTACGCCGTGTTTAATTACGAGATAAAAGTCCTGATATTGATGGATAATTCTTGATCTATTGATGTTTGTAATCCTATTAGGTGAATTGAATTTAGCAATAATTTAACAATTATTGTTAATCGCTTGATTGTACCAACTACCTTATAGGTTAGTTACTGCCTTTGAATGTTATAGAAAAACTACTCATGTGACCAACGTTTGTGCGTCAGTTGTAGCTATAAAAATGATAAATTTAGCCAGAGAAACATTATCTAATATCCTAAATTTGTTTAAAATGGCACTCTAATTAAAGCCGTAAATTATTAATTTCAGTGAATGATTAAAAATGGCATGCACGGATAAATACGATCGTAACGCTCTTAAAGGGTAACTGAAATAAAATATAATATTATATATCATATATATAACTTTCAATAGTTTTTTCATGCCCAATACATTTATTTCTCAGACTGGAGCGTTATATACGTGTTCGTATCGAGCGTGGCGATTGGTTCAATAGTTTTTTCATGCCAATTCATTTATTTCTCAGACTGGAGCGTGATATACGTGTTCGTATCGAGCGGTTCAATAGTTTTTTCATGCCCAATACATTCATCCCCACAGACTGGAGCGTAATATACGTGTTCGTGTCGAGCGTGGCGATTGGTTCAATAGTTTTTTCATGCCAATTCATTTATTTCTCAGACTGGAGCGTGATATACGTGTTCGTATCGAGCGTTTCAATAGTTTTTTCATGCCCAATACATTTATCCCACAGATTGGAGTGTGATATACGTGTTCGTGTCGAGCGTGGCGATTGGCTCGCTGCTAGTCATCGGTGTGTGGGTGCTCGCTACGTTGCTCTCCCGACGCAGGGCCGCCCTGGGGCAGGAGTCAAGGCGGGGCAAAAGCTCTTCAATGTTTGGGTGTTGGGGAGCGGAGGGCCTGTCGTCGTCTGGTGGAGGGCACCGACGAAGAGGAGGGACTGGGGGTGGTAGTCGCTACACGCTTCTTGATGACGAAGGGCTCAAGAGTGAGTATGTTTTTATTTGTTTTTTTTTATGTACGGACTAATTTAAATAAAGGGCTCAAGAGTGAATACTCTTTTATTTATGTTTTTTGTACGGATTAATTTAAATGAAGGGCTCAAGAGTGAGTACTCTTTTATTTATATGTTTTTTTATGTACGGACTAATTTAAATGAAGGGCTCAAGAGTGAGTACTCTTGTATTTATATGTTTTATTTTTTTATGTACGGACTAATTAACACGAAGGACTCAAGAGTGAGTACTCTTTTATTTATATGTTTTTTTATGTACGGACTAATTTAAATGAAGGGCTCAAGAGNCTGTCTCTTATACACATCTAGATGTGTATAAGAGAAGGACTCAAGAGTGAGCAGTCTTTTATTTATGTTTTTTTTATGTACGGACTAATTTAAATGAAGGACTCAAGAGTGAGTACTCTTTTATTTATATGTTGTGTGTTTTGTTTGTACGGAATATTTTAATTTATACTGAATATTTTTATTTATTTAGAGTTTTTTATTTATTTGTATGCTGTACTTTTATTATTTGTGAGGTAATTGTATTTATATATTGTATTTTTGTTTGTACGGACTAGTTTAATTTATACTGAATATTTTTATCTAATTGGTGTTTTTTATTTATTTATTTATATGTTGTAATTTTAATATTTGTAAGGTTATTGTATTTTTATGTTGTATTTTTGTTTATATGGACTAGTTTAATTTATACTGAATATATTTATTTATTTTGTGTTTTTTATTTATTTGTATGTTGTACTTTTATTATTTGTAAGGTAATTGTATTTATACGGTGTATTATTTGTTGTGCCTATAAAATTGATTGTGTCAATTTTAAAATTAATTAATAATATGAAATGAGTGAGATTGATCCATATAGTGATGCAGTTCTTTTCCCCTCTTGTGTGTGTCTTCTGGACCAAGTTTGAAGGTACGTCACTATTTGGGCAAATGACCTCATTCATTTGTCTGAGTGTTGGCGTATATGTAGTTTTATTTATGAAAATTTAAGATTCCAGTAGTAATGATAAATTCAATGATGAAATTGTTGCTATATGTTCGACACCTTCCAATTTCGTTCTGTAGTTTTAGTGTAGACTGATTACGGTAAATGGGTGACAATTTCATAAATCACCTCTGATAGGTACTTGTTAATAATTTAAGTGCGTAAAACATTATTCTTATATATTCAATCTTCACTTCTAAATTCTTTACAATGCTGGTACATATCATGTCCCTACATTTGTTGTCTGCATTCAGCAAGTGATTTATCAATTATATCCCTTATTTAAATGAACTATTCCCTCACCTTAAATTCTTTGTATCAACTGAAGAATTTAAAGCATAAATAAATTTTCTTACACGCGTTGTTTCACAGTGCGAGTTCGCACCCTGGCCTTTATATATATAGTTGATTATCAGTAGTATTTCTACGCGCGCTGTAATTAATTAATTAATTAATTTAATTATTAATAAGTATTTTTACGCGCGTAAATAAGTATTCTTACGTGCGCTGTTTGACAGTGCGCGTTCGCAGCAGCCTGCTGGAGTCGAGCAGCGAGTCCGGCAGCGACGCAGAGATTCTCTTCGACTCGCGCGCCAAACCGCGGCACAAGAGCGCGAGTTTGGGCGGCGAGAAGCGCAAGAATGGCCTGCTGAAAACCGCCCCTTCAAGACTCCGGGCCTAAGTTTCGTGTTGAATTCAGTGAGTGGTCGAGTTTAGTGAGTGGTCAACTTCAGTGAGTAGTCAAGTTCAGTGAGTGCCAGTCAGGGCGGCAAAAAGCGCAAAAACGGCCTGCTCAAAACTGCCCCTTCAAGACTCCGGGCCTAAGTTTCGTGTTGAATTCAGTGAGTAGTTGAGTTCAGTGAGTAGTTGATTTCAGTGAGTAGTAGAGTTCAGTGAGTAGTAGAGTTCAGTGAGTAATCGAGTTCAGTGAGTGGTCGAGTTCAGTGAGTGGTCAATCAGTGAGTAGTCGAGTTCAGTGAGTAGTCGAGTTCAGTGAGTAGTCGAGTCCAGTGAGTAGTCGAGTTCAGTGAGTAGTAGAGTTCAGTGAGTAGTCGAGTTCAGTGAGTAGTCAAGCTCAGTGAGTGGTCGAGTTCAGTGAGTGGTCGAGTTCAGTGAGTAGTTTATACATCCATTTTAATGCATCAGCGCTCAGGCAATATAATTTTAAATTCTGATCAATATGTTAGAATAATCAATTTAAAAAAAAAATAACACTCCAGAAGTTCTATTCTAGTGTTACTGAAACCTTCAATTGTAAATCAATTAACTCAAAGGACTAGGTATTTTTAAAATTAAAATATGATTATCTTATAGAGACCGATCTATAAAATTACAATAGCTTTTATACATTAAAAAGGAAGCTTCAATGCCGAAACTAGTTGGTCCACATCGTTGAAAAAAAGCTGTAGTTGAATTAAAGTTTTTTAAGACATGACAATTCATCAACACTTATCTTGTATAAATCACCTTTCCAAGTGTTAATTAAATCTTCCATAGCACATCAATTTATTCTAGTGACTGTTTTTTTTAATGCTGATGTCTAATGAATCAAAATTTTTAGTTAACAATTTATTTCAATTAAAATGTTTTTAATTTAATAAACTTTTTAAATGATAAATTATAATTTTTAAATAATATATTTTATCCAGTGAAGAAAGTAAGCTAATTGAAGACTAACAACTTTATTAGAATTTTTTTAAGTATCCAGGTTCATCATGCCTGGGCTCCATGTACTGTTTTCCTCAAAACATATGTAAGAAATAAATAGATTGTCAATCTGAAATTAAGAAAATATGATTTAATTTACAAATTCCAGGTTTCTCACAAATTTTTTCCGTTACAGGTTGCGTTTCTACTGCACGCGCAGCTTGGCAAAGCACCAAAGAGCTTCTTATATTCCTACGAACAACTTTCAAACTCTGCATAACAAACTACGCTGATGCATATTATGAATGTTATTTATAAACGCCTTGTTAGTGCATTTTCTCATTTATGGAAAAAAGGCGCTATTGTGCTCGTCATGTCCGTCTGTCCGTCCGTGATTTCAAGTTTTCGGCGACGAGAAAATGCGCGCTCTGTCACTCACTGCAGTGAGTACTGAGTTATATTTTTTCCCATTAAGCCACTATAAAATATGAGCTATTAACTAAACCAAATTTTATTGCCTGAAATGAATATTATTAATATTTGAATATTCATATTACAAGAGCAAACAAAACTCATTATGTGTTGTCAGTTAAAGATGAGTTTTTGCCTCCACACGCATACTTTTTACAGGTTCGGCTGTTAGTGGTCATTATTTTTTTAAATAACCGTGCTGTATAGTTTTGAATTATTGTTAGATTCAAAATTTCCCATAAATCACGTATTTATCACGTGCGTAAATGACTCGTACAAAATATTTCTATGTCTTTTTTTCTATAATCCTGTATCATCTAAATTCTTATTATTTCTTGATGCTATTTATGCCAGTACAAACATCTGAGCGTATATATACTATTTATATATTTTGATGAAACCTACTTCCTTGCATTCTTCCCATGCAACGGAGAGCCTCGTATAAGACCTGCTTTTTGCTGGTGCTGCAATTTTTAACAAGGACAAGGGTTTTTAGCGCATTTTCTCATTTATGGAAAAAATGCACTATTGTGCTCGCCATGTCCGTCCGTCTGTCTGTCTGTCCGTGACTCCACGTTTTCGTCGACGAGAAAATGCGCTCTCTGTCGCTCACTGCAGTGAGTACTGAGTTAATTTTTTTTGTCTGTGTTTTGGTGTGTTTATTATTATTATCATTATTTTTTTTTTTTTGCTTAATTTCAAACCTTTCAATCACTGAAATTATCTTAACACGTTGAGTGCGACACCACCGACCGGTGGGATGCAGGTCTTTTTTTTCGAATAAAGTTCGTGATTTCGTTTTTATTTTTCAATTGCTCCTGTCGACAAAAATTTCTGATGGCCGGACTATTGCATTAAATTTCAGAAAGTACCGTATGGAAAAAATAAATTTTTATTTTTGCACCGGAAGCTACAAATTTACTAGCATATTTTGAATTATAGGCCTTTTTATCCGTGGACTTGGCCGTTTTTAGGCCAAATGGCAGGCCGTTTTTAGGCCAAATGGCAGCGCTTGTGGGTCAATGTGATAAATAAGTTGGCCGGTAAATGCTATATTCGTAACAGTCTCTGCTCATCGATTCCAGTCTGTTACGTCCAAAAGTTTCCAGCGTCAGAGGTTCTCGTACTTAATGAATTTCGATATAAGTCGTTTATAACGTAAATAAATCTGTGTGTATTTTGATTTATGTATTGTTTCAATTAATTTAGTTTTTTCTCTTGATTTCTGAAAAGTATTTAAGAGTGTGAATGTATTATAATTTGCTAATTATTCTTGTTAATGAAATGCTTACGTCGTTATTTGCCATTTTGAATGAGACGAAAGTAACACGTTAACGGAAAAAAACGTGTTATCTATTTATTTAAAGGTATATGTGCTTCAATTTCTTAATTGATATCATGTTTTGTGCCGATACCTGTCGGGTCATAAAGCAAAGACTACTAACTTATTCTGGACTATAATATTATTATTGTAATTCATTTAAAAATTTCATTTCATAGTGAATTCGCTTATATAAGTCTTGTTGCTAGTTGTGTTTTGATCATATTATTTCGATTCATTTAAAGATTTTACTTAATAGTGAATTCGCTTATATAAGTCTTGTTGCTAGTTGTGTTTTGATCATATTATTTCGATTCATTTAAAGATTTTACTTAATAGTGAATTCGCTTATATAAGTCTTGTTGCTAGTTGTGTTTTGATCATATTATTTCGATTCATTTAAAGATTNAAGTTTCTTAAATCGAAAAATCATTCATCACCAAAGAGGCTGTCTCTTATACACATCTAGATGTGTATAAGAGACAGCTCTAATGACAATTCTCTCATTGTTTACATTCTCCACACTCTAATGACAATTCTCTCATTGTTTACATTCTACTCACTCTAATGACAATTCTCATTGTTTACTATTATTAATTTTATTATGAATTTTTAGTTTTTTATTAATTTTTTTTAGTTTTTTATTAATTTTATTATGAATTTGTTCCTATTTTTTTATGACAATTTGTTCCTATTTTATGCTCATGTTATTCATTACTGCATAATTGCCGTTGATAGAATATGATTCCATTGTAAATTTTTTCGTGAAACATATTGCGCCTATGACAATTTCTTACCGTTTTTTTTTTAATTGTCATGAATTCAATTCTTTCAATTCAATTGAATTCTATGAATTCAATTTTTTCCTCCCGCACTCACCATTCCAAGAAAAATGAATTAATTTTATTAATTAATTAATTTTATTAATAATTAATTTCTTACAGGTTTTCAAATGGATTATTAATGCTAATTACGATTTGTATCTTCTCTTACGTCTCAAGTCCGAAAATATATTTAGAATCACGAAAATTTAAATTTTCATTCCAGAATGCTAAGTTAGAAGTTATTTTGAAAGTTTATCTATGTTCTAACGTCTGAAATTAGAACTATATTACCATGGTTTCGATTTTCACTTCTTAACGTTCAACTTGAGTTCAAAGTAAACACCACTCTTGCTCATTCATAATTTAGAAACGTATGCTCCCTGTTGAGAATGAATAAAATTTATTGTACTTTCTTCTCTAAAGCAAACTTTTCACGCTTGGTATTTTTTGTGTCTGCGAGCTAAAAAAAATCATTTGTCATATTCATTTTTATTTTTGGGGCTTTTGCCTTAAAGTTACACTCGTGATGTTTTATTGTATTTAAAATTTGTTTTTATTTGTTCATAAGACATTTCATTGCTGTTATAAGATACCTCTTGCCTGTAAGGCAGCTTATATTCATAGAATCCTAGTCAATATTTACGTTCCATTGTTAATTTGCTTGTGGATTGCTTTGGGAGTTATAAAAGAATTTGTTAAGTATTATTAATAAATGCTTTAGACCGGCGGCCATGACACTAGCTTTAACTTTATATTAAAGTGCTCTCTGATCGGGATACTACACACAGTAAAATAAATGAGACTGTCCAAATATCAATGCATTTTTCGCCTTTTTTTCGATTAATCCTTATAAAGTTCTGTCCGATGAAAGGGCGCATCAGTGCAACGCGCAAATAATGTCAATATTTGAACAATTTATCCCTTTATTTTTAGCGCATTTTCTCATTTATGGAAAAATGCACTTGTGCTCGCCATGTCCGTCCGTCTGTCTGTCCGTGACCTCAAGTTTTCGTCGGCGAGAAAATGCGCTCTCTGTTACTCACTGCAGTGAGTACTGAGTTATATTTTTTCTGATGATAATACAATTATTGGTGTCTATGATTAATGTTCAGTCAGAAAAATGAAGGGGTTATCTTGTCCAAATAATTTGCGCGAGTAAAGGGCGGACGTAGCACTGATACGTCTCTTTAGCTGGACCGAAGTGGGTCAGGTTGACCCACTTTAGGGCAAACAGTACATAAATTTTCAGACAAAGTAGCACTCATTTTGCTGAGTGTATCCAGTGAACTACTCAGGAGCAGTACTTTGTGTGTGATTTGTTTACAGTACATATAATATAATGTACACTGCTTGTACTTATCATATATTATGTAATGCACGCTCCGTGTACGTTTCATTTTGTTTACATCTTTTTGGAACAGTTTGGAACATCTTTTGTTAGTCATTTCTGCGTAGAATTCATTGAATATTTTTGTAAAATGTTGTTTATATATGCAGTCAATCAACGTTTATTATATTTTATCTTGTCTGGAATCTATATTTTCAAACAAGTATTGCTTACTGAATAATATATCGATAATAATACATTCAATTGATTATAATCCAAAACGGACGTAATTAAATATCCTCTATGCGAACAAATAAAGCTCATTAATTCAGCTTCGAGATCAATGTTCATTCACCAATTCATGCGGCCTATGCACGAATATTATTTCTTAGGAAACGAAATTCCGAACATCTCTGAATGTATACGTACATTTTTTTTTGTTTGTTTCACGTACACAAATTACAATACGGTAGCAACTAATCAACTTGTTCAATATTGTCTACAGTAAATAATTCCTGTTAATAAGTTGCATAGTTAATCTAGCTTTCCGACGAAAATTGCTGAAAATTTAAAAATTTGCCCTAAACGTTTGAAATTGTTCAAAATTGTTCTTATTTTGAAGTGAGGCATTTGTTTTCTTTCAAGCCGCTTCACAACTTCTTTTCGAGTTGGAATAATGCTAGAATTTGAATTTCCCTATCTTGACATGTTGCTATTGTTCTCACTTCGAGTTTTTAGACAAATTCGCCGTGATTCTTTAACATGAAAATATCCTTAACCCAGAGCACATATTGAACAGTGAACATGTATTGTGCTTTGAACTTATTATAAAAAGAGAATACATCTTAAAGACACAACATTTACTAGACATTGAGCTTGTATTGAGCAAAGAACAAATTTTGAACACGGAGCATTTAATGAACATTTAATTTATATAAAAAGCATACTGCATTCGTATAAATTAGTTTGTTTGGTGGCCAAATGTTTACTAGCGTTTCAGCTATTTAGCTATCTCGCACCGAAAGTCGAGATGAACATCACCAAAGAGGTGGAAGGTCTAAATTATTGAAAGTTTCTTAAATCGAAAAATCATTCATCACCAAAGAGGAGGAAGGTCTCAGTTATCGAAAAGTTTTTCAAATAAAAAGTTGTTCATCACCCACAAGGAGCAGAAGGTCTCAATTGTCCAGCCCGCTGAAGCTGGCTTGGAAGAACTAGCGTTAGCATCTCAAAGAGACGAAGTGACAAGGAGGGACAGGTGACAAGGAGGGACAGGTGACAAGGAGGGACAAGTGATGGAGGGACAGGTGACAAGGAAGGACAGGTGAAAAGGAGGGACAAGTGACAAGGAGGAACAGGTGCCAAGGAGGGACAGGTGAAAAGCAATAGAAACGAAGACACTCGAACA